GCATCCTGCGGATGTTGCCGCGGACGATAACAGTTCGATGCAACAAGTTCCCTGCCCAGCAGCGGCCGCTGTCGGTGTCGGATAACATTCACTTGTGGACGTCATGCCCATTTGTTCCACGTTCCTTTTTGGCACGCCGAGTTTCGCTCTGGGCCTGGCTGGCTCGCCTGTTTGGGTTCGCTGCGGGGCGCCGCGGTGGACGCGTGTCCTGCGGGAAATTGGCCATGGCAGGTCTTTCCCGCTTTCGGCCCCCCCAGGCTCCCGGCGGGCCCCGAGGCAGCCGAAAAACGATCGAGCTGGTCTCGGCGGGAGCTCCCGTGTTTTGGGCCCGGTTGCTTCAAAGCCCGTTTCCATCGCGGCGACGGAAGCTCCGTTCGATTGCGACACAAGGAGACAACGCGGCGGTGGCGGCGCCGATGGCCCCTGCCTCTGCCGCCCTTGCCTCCCGACCCCGCCCCACTCCCCGAGTCAGTGTTGCTCCTGTCGCTTTCTCGCTGGCGGCCGGGCGTCGGCGCCAACCGCCAGCGCCGACGCGCTGTGTTTCAATTTGGCGGGCGCCACCCCGCGATTCGCCTGAACGGGGGAACCTTGTTCGTCGCGCGATCCCCATTGACGTGTTAATCACAAACTGATACTAACGTTGGCGATGATGATGGTGGCTGTGCTGGTGAGGATGAAGAAGACATGCGCGCGCAGACAGTCAACAAGGGAGGCGACATCGACGATGACGGCGGTGGCGGTGGTGGTGGCGGTGGCGGTGGCGGTGGCAGTGGCGGTGGCGGTGCGGGTCACGATGATGATGATGCTGCTGATGATGATGCGGATGATGATGATCATGATGATGATGATGATGATGATGATGATGATGATGATGATGATGATGATGACGGTGATGCTGCTGATGATGATGGTGTTGCTGGTGATGGTGATGGTGGTGATAATGATGGTGATGATGATGGTGATGATGATGACGGCGCCGGTGGTGGCTTCGATGGCCATGGCAATGACGACAATGGCAATGATGATGCTGAAAATGATATCATATGATATGTATATAATGTGATGATTACAGCGATGATCAGGAAGTTCGCACACAGGAGTGCGTAAGTCTTGGCTTCCTTTCGTTTTGAATTTCTATCGGGTTGGAGCATGTGGAAAATCAATGGTTTGGGGATGATTTCGACGTGAACGCACAGATAAGCCCGCGCGGCCCGCATTAATTTGTTTTGAAGAGCTGGCGGTCGCGCGGTGTTTGTTGAACGTTTTCGGCATGCGCGCGGGTGTGGCGCGCGCGCGGAGTCTGGCAAATTCCCCCCAAAAAGGCGTTTGCACCAACAGTTGTTTTAATTGGCGCTCGTGGGCGCCCCGTGCGCTGGGGGGGGGTTGCCAGGGTTGCGCCACGCTGCCGCCCGTGCGACCTCGTGGGCACTCGTGGGCGCCCCGGTGCGTGGGTGGGGGTGGCTGCCGAGGGGTTGCGCCACGTTGCCGCCCGTGCGACCTCGTGGGCGCTCGTGGGCGCCCCGGTGCGTGGGTGGGGGTGGCTGCCGAAGTCGCGCCACGTTGCCGCCCGTGTGACCTCGTGGGCGCTCGTGGGCGCAACGTGCGCAGAGCTTACGCCACACAGCTTTCACCACGCAGTTGGAGCGACCTCACCTGTGCCATATGGCTTGCACCGCGTAGCTTGCCCCCATATATTGAAGATTGCGTAGCGCTAACCTCGGGCTCACATTACTTAGCTGACACGACAAAGACTGCACAACGCCGCGCAGCTTTCAGTTCCATATCCCACAGCTCACAGCACATAGTTTTCACCGCATGGCTTATGCCACACAGCTTGCTACCACATAGCCTACACAGCATAGTTGTCACCTCCACAGGACAATCACTCCTCGTTTGGGTCCCAGGTTGGCTAACATTGTTGCAACACGTATGTTGCATGGTAGCGTTTGAGCAGATCTGTCTTGATGTTGATCGACATCATTGTGTTCAGCGGTTGTCCCGCTGGCTTTTCTGTTGCAATTGACTGTGGGGAAACACTTCTGAGATCAACGCATGTGCACCGCATGGCATTTGTTGCAGGTGGTGCGGGTGAGAGGTCGATACCTGGACTGCTTGGGATGGTATTCCTCGCAATTCGCAATGAAAGGGCGCGCAGAATAAATTTCAAAACATAGCATGCGGGGGGGCAACAACCCCAGCTTCGGGGTGGGAGTACTGTTTTGTTTTGAAAGATGTGCGTGGTGCCAGCTTTGCGGGGGGCACTCATGCAGTGGGAGCTATGGGGTGCAGGCTGCATGGTGCAATATATGGATCGCAAGATGCGTGGTGCACCTTATGTGGTGCAGGCTACCTGGCCGCCAATTGTCGTCGTTCACAAAGAGACAGTCTGGACCAAGTCTAACTGAAGGATTCTTGGGAACACTGTCTTCATCATCACAGCATTGGAATACCACCCGGTGAAGAATCTCAAGTAGAAGTCCTTAACAGCAAAACCTAACCAGCGAATCTCGAACTAAGCCGCCGACTGCGGTCATGAGTACACAGGAAACTTTGGTTCGCGCTCTTCGCGGAGCCATGCAACGAAGCTGTCCTGAGAAAACTCGACTGGTGTCACCGAGGATGCACCTGCACTCTGCCCAGTACAAGTCATGAAAAATTCTAGACGCTTCGCGTATCCCCACCAGCCCGTCCAGAAACGACGCCCAGGCGAGTAGAGGGTCGTCCTGAGGGGCTTTTCGGCGTCTTGGGTGCCTCGGGGGGGCCTCTGTGGGCCGTTCGGGATCCTCTTTGGGGCCTCCTGAGGGCCTCTTGGGGCCTCTTGGGGCCATCTTGGGGCCTTTGGGGGCCTCCTGGGCGCTTCTTGGGGCCATCTTTGCCCCTTGGGTGCCTCTGGGGGGTCTCTTGGGGCCTCTTGGGGATCTCTTGGGGGCCTCCTGGGGGCCTCTTGGGGGGCCTCTTGGGGCCATCTTGGCGCCATCCTGCGGCCTCTTGGGGCATCCTGGGGGCCTCTTGCGGCCATCGTGGAGGAAATCGGCCAAGGAAGTAGGGTTCCTTAATTAGAGCCCCCCCCCAGGAGCTCCAAACATCGCTTCCTGGACCCCTCTTGGATCGCTCTTGGAGCGCTCGTGGCCGCTCTTGGAGCCATCCTGAGGCTCTCTTGGGCCCTTCTTGGAGCTATCTTGAGCCATCTTGGAGCCATCTTGACGCCTCGGATGTGCATCGCAAGCGAAAAAGTGAGAACACCAAAAACATTGATTTTCCTCAGGGCTTTGAAGCATTTTGGCCTCTTGGATGCATCCTAATGATGCTCTTGTGGGCACTTGGAACCGTCTTGGAGAGTTCTTGGAACGTCTTGGAACATCATGGGGACCATCTTGAGGCATCTTGCGCTATCTTGAGCCATCTTGGAGGGTATCTTGGGCTCCCTGAGGCCCTCTTGGAGCCGTCTTGGGCCATCTTGGGCGCTCCAACGCGCCGCGGAACCCTCTGTCCAGGTCAGTGGGGAGGGGGTAGGGGGAGGGGTAAACCCCTCCCCGAAGGGGAAGAAGGAGGGGTGGAAGAGGAAACGCTCTAAACCACCGACGCCCAGAGGGCTGGTGGGATTACAGGCCAACCCTTTCATGCGCTGGCTCCGGGCCGCAGTCGGCTTCGGATAAGGTATTGAGGTGGAGGGGAGAACCATAATGGAGGATGACGATTAATAAATGACCGGGGGTCGTGTTCACGCGGCGGCGCCCGGGATGACGATTAGAAAAAACCGGCCGCGGGCTGGAAAACTATTTGTTTAATCGTTCTCCTCCAGTCAGAAAATTGTGCAGAAATAGCAGAACACTATTTTTTAAATTGTTCTCTCCCATGTTTTTAATTAATCGTCATCCCGCATTAAGGGGGTCCAGGAGGCGAGCGAGAAAAAGGATCCTGGCACTGAGGCGGAGTGAGTCTCGGAAGCAGAAGGCCGCGCGATGGTCCCGAGGCGCAGTCCAGCAGGTCGCCAAGACAGTCGAAAAGCGCTCAGAGTGTGAGTCGCAGTACAGTGGTTACTGTCAGTGTCACTGGGGCTTCTAAAGCTCCGAAGGGCGGCGACTCAAGCGAGTTGTCGGTTCCGTCCACCCCCTCAGCGCAGGCTACGAGAAAGATGGCGCGCTCCGGTGAGGCTTCCGCCGCCGGCTCTCGCGCGAGGCGGGTTTCGGAGGCGGCGCGGCATCGGTCAGCAGGAGGCGGAGGCGCAACTCCTCGGACGTTTCGGAAGCGGAAGTCTCCGCGCCAACTGGCTCGTCCGAGGTTCTGTCGAGGAGAAGACGGGGGGAAAGATCTGCAGACGCCGAGGCCAGACGCAGGCCTGCGGACGCCGAGGCCAGCGGTCACGACTTCGTTGCCGGAAAGGCAATCAGCCAGAGATCTGAGATTTCTTTTCATGGAGAAGCTGCCAGAAGACGAGGCGATCTCCAGAGCGATTCAGGCTCGAGTGTGCCTGTGGCTGCTGTGCATCAACGTCTCGGATCCAACGAGAGCGGAACAAACGGTGTCGGGGTTCCGTCTTGACGTCTACAGTCGAGGCGCTGAAGAAGGAACCCTTTTCGTTGGGGAGGGGCTCGGTGTTCCTTGATTGTTTCACAGCTTGCCTCAGGTTTTCCTTATGTCTTCGATGGGAAATCGAAGTTTAACTTGTGGAACAAAAAGGGGCCTCGTTCCTTATTTAGGGTTCCTTAGGTCAGCGCCCCGACTGTACGAGATGCGGCAGCTGCTTTTTTAGCGGCCGAAAGTTTAAGGGCCGAAGCCTGCCCCCCGCATACCGCCAGCGATCGCGCACGGGGCGGCCACGGGGCAGCCACAATGGCGGGCACCGAGGGGCAACCACCCGAGAAAGCACCCGCCGTGGCACGAGGCGGCCACGAGGTGGGCGCCGGGGGGAAACCCGCGAACACCAGCCATCGCACGGGACGGCCAGTGGGCAAAAAACAAATAAAAGGCTGGCCAGTTTTCTCACACCGAAGTGGGAGCCCCCAGTGCAAGCACTCTTTGGGGAGCAAGGAGATTCGGAACAGTGGTTGGGTCGTACTTCCAGTGTGCTTCTTCTGAGGTGAATTCGGAGTCCCTTGGTCTGCAGCCCAGTCTCCGAGTTGCACTGGGCCATCACGGCTCGGCTGCTGGCTTTCGAAGCTGTTGGTCCAAGCCGGTTGCAGGTTGGCGCAGTCTTCGTTGTGGTGCCAAATCTGGGAAGTCCGTAGCGCCAGCCGCAGAGAGCGATGCGGTATACAGGTGCCCTCTTGCTGTTTCTCTTTGCTCGCCCGCGTTGCGCAGGATCCACACGGTACACCTCGGAGCACAGGTCTGGATCCGATTCCGAAGCTGGGGTCAGTGGTGACAGATCCAGCGAGGAGTGGAAGTGGTGCAACCCTTGGTCCGAGGAAAGCACTCGCACGTACCACTTCCAGTCGGTGGAGGAGGACGGCGACCCCACGGCCATCGCGTTCGTGCGCGACAAGAACAATGCGAGGCTGCACTTTTACAAACATACAGAATGGACCGCGAAGTACGAGAGGTATTACGTTCGGGTGAGCACTGAACCAGTGAAGAAATACCGGTCTCAATGGCAGCCCGCCGTCCCTTTGGGCTCCAAGCGGCCTTATGAGCTTGCCACTGTGTATCTGTCAGCGCAGCATTTGGACTACGTGCGGTGCGTGCCTGTGTCCACTCCTGATGGGGCCAAGTCGTGCCTGTTGGAGATCAAGAGCCAGGGCGTGAAGAACGAGTTCTTTGGGGGCATGTATTATTCACGTTTCGCGTATCCCCACCAGCCCATTCAGAAGCCCTGCCCACGAGAGCTGACGGGAAAAGGAGCGAGGGGACACATCTAGGGAAAGCGAGCAACCAGGATGAACCGAAAGATCTCTGGGAGCAAGGGGGTGGCCTTGGAAGGCCTCTTTGGGCCATCCCTAGGGGCCGCGTGGGGGTGAGGGGAAGAGGAGGACGAGAAGGAGGAGGAGGTCGATCAAAAGATGGGGGGTCCTCGATTTCGGCTCCTTCCCAGGAGCCCTCAAAATCGCCACTTGGAGCTCTCCTGGGGCTCTTTGGGAGGGTATTGGAGCTCTCTTGGGACTCTTTTAGGGGTCTTGGGGCCCTCTTGGGGCTCTCTTGGGGCCCTCTTGGGAGCCCTGGAAGGCCTCTTGGGGCCATCTTGAAGGCCATCGATCAAAGGAGAAGATGGGATAACGTTCAGCCCCCCTCCCAAAGAGGCCAAAATGGAGCCAGAACCTTACTACAACCAATGATCTTGGCTTCCTCGCCGAGGCCGTTTTGGACGCCCTGACACCTCGCGGAACCCCCCAAAAAAGTCCAAGGGAGGGGTAAGGGGAGGGGTCAAGACTCCCTCCCCGCCCGCAAGCCGTCTCGCTCACTCCCACCCGCCCTCCCAACACATACTTAGCACCCGAGTCTGGCCCGAGCCTCAGCATATTCCGCAGTCGTCTTTGGATGGGCAGCTATTGCCGCCGCCGCCGCCGCCGCCGCCTTCGCCGACGCCGCCGCCGCCGCCTCCGCCGCGCCCCCGCCGCCGCCGCCGCCGCGCCGCCGCCGCCGCCGCCGCCGCCGCCGCCGCCGCCGCCGCCGCCGCCGCCGCCCCCCCCCCGCTGCCAAATCGCCGCCGCCGCAGCCGCAGCCCCCGCAGCCGCTGCCGCCACTGCCACCGCCGCCGCCGCCACCGCCGCCTCCGCCGCCACAGCCGCCGCCGCCGCCGCCGCCCCCGCCGCCGCCGCCGCCGCCACCGACGCCGCCGTCGCCGCAGCCGCCGCAGCCGCCGCCGCCGCCGCAGCCGTCGCAGCCGTCGCCGCCGCCAAGTGTACTCTGTATTGTTTTTTGACAGGGATGGTGGGGGGAGGCCGCATCGGGTTGGCTGCGCGTGCTCTGAATTTGGAGCAGAGTGTGTTTTGTATGTTTTTTTGCCGGGAAGGGCTCGGCCCTGAAGGGTTCTCTTTTAGTGTGTTTGCCCGCGGTTTTGACTTGAAGGAGGCCGGCTGATTTCCGCTCGATACAAACGAAGTAAATTCACGTTCTGCGTGAAAAAATGCGTTCCGCGCGTGCCCGCTCGAGGAAAGTCGCCCCCCCACTTCGGATCCTCGATAAATAACGGGGTCCGCGGACCACCGTTTTCCTTCGTGAAAAAAGTGCGGGCCATTTTTAGCAGAATCTTTAAAAACGGAGGTCTGGAGCCCCGACCGCGACGCGGAAAAGCGTCCCGCGCGCAGGAATTCCGAGGATGTCTCGCGCGTGCCGCGTCCCGCGCGCAGAAATTTCGAGGATGTCTCGACTAATTCGTTGGTTTTTCCAGGATTTCCTGGGCCACACGGGGGGGTATCTAACATGTTTTTCTGGAGCGTGACAATGTTGAGTTTTTGCGTGCCCGCTCGAGGATGGTGCGCCCCCCGCGCCAAACAATCGAGGATGTCTCGAGCGAAACGCTTGTTTTACAAAACTTGAAGGACCTGGGCGCCCCAGCATGCCCCAGGAGGTCCTGGGAGCGCGGGCGCGGCGTAATCTACGAGGGATCGCGTAATTCGCTAGGGACCGTGGCCTTCGGAGCGCGGGCGCAGTGTAATTTACGAGGGGTCGTGGCCTTGGGAGCTCGGACGCAATATAATTTACTAGGGATCGTAGCCCTTGGAGCGCGGGCGCATCGTAAAATACGAGGGATCGGGGCCCTGGGGGCTCGGACGCAGCGTGATTTACGAGGGATCGTGGCCCTGGGAGCGCGGACGCAGCGTAATTTACAAGGGGTCGGGGCCCTGGGAGCGCGACCCCAATGTAATTTACGAGGGATCGTGGCCCTGGGAGCGCGGTCGCAGTGTAATTTACAAGAGATCGTGGCCTTGGGAGCGCGTCCCGTGGCACGTCCATTGGCACGTTCCGTAGCGCGTCCCCTCGGCACGTCCCGCGGTGCGTCCCCGTGGCACGTCCCCTGGCACGGCGCTTGGCGCGTTCCTTGGGACGTTCCGCGGCGCGCCCTCCTGGCATGTTCCCCTGTCGAGGAGCTCTGGGGCAGCTACTATGTGCTGAGGTAGCTCGAGCTTAAGATCCAGATCAGTTCGGTCAGGACTCGGATGCAAAGGAGGACTCGATCCACAACGCTATAGAGCACAATCGCGGCATGGCACATCGCAGTTCAGCACAGCGCAGCACAGCACAGCCCTCGGCATGGTACATCAAGATCGATACACACAGCATTGCAACCTGGCACGTTCTGTGGCGCGTCCCGTGGCGAGTCCCCCTGGTCCCCTGGCACGTCCCGTGGCACGTCCATTGTCACGTTCCGTAGCGCGTCCCCTCGGCACGTCCCGCGGTGCGTCTTCGTGGCACGTCCTTTGGCACGTCGCCTGGCGCGTCCCTTGGGACGTTCCGCGGCGCGTCCTCCTGGCATGTTCCCCTGTCAAGTAGCTCTGGGGCACTACTATGTGCTGAGGCAGCTCGAGCTTAAGATCCAGATCAGTTCAGTCAGGATTCGGATACAAAGGAGGACTCGATCCACAACGCTATAGAGCACAATCGCGGCATGGCACATCGCAATTCAGCACGGCGCTGCACAGCACAGCCCTCGGCACGGTACATCAAGATCGGTACACTCAGCATTGCGTTTGCCCGTCGCCCAATCAGGTGTCTTTGAAACGTTGCCATGCCTTACATGTCTATATTCCTTTCCGGGTTCGTGGGCCGATCATGTTACAAGGGATGGTGGGGGGGGGCCGCATGGTTCTGGGTTGGCTACCAGTCGCCTGGGGGAGGGGGTGTTTATCAAGCTAGGTGCGCTCGCGTCATATCTGACGTCCTACCCCTCCCTCCCATCCCTTACCATGGCGCTGATTTTCTCTATCCGCGGACGCGTGTCGTAGCGGACCTGTGGCTCCGCGCGCGCGTGCGTAGTGGGTGGTGGTGCGTGCGTGCGTGCGTGCGTGCGTGTGTGCGTGGTTGTGCTGGTGCTGGTGCTGGTGCTGGTGCTGGTGCTGGTGCTGGTGCTGCTCGTGCTCGTGCTGGTGGTGGTGCTGGTGCTGGTGGTGGTTGTGATGGTGGTGGTGGTGGTGGTGGTGGTGGTGGTGGTGGTGGTGGTGGTGGTGGTGGTGGTGGTGGTGGTGGTGCGGCGCGGTGGTGGCGGGCGGATGGGCGCGCGAGAAAGAGGCCCGCGCTGGGGCGAGAACGCCATCCTGAACGACGGAGGCCAAACACCGATCCGAAAATGAGGCCCACGCTGCAGCGGGAGCACGATTCGGAACGATTCGGGAGCAGAAATGAGGCCGGCGCCTCAGCGAGAGCATCATTAAAAAAAAACGCATGCGAAAACCCGTTTCCCGGGAATCCTGTGTGTAAAAAAACACTACGCGGGGGGCGTTCGGCCCGAAAATGACGCCGGCGCCTCAGCGAGAGTCGTTTCCCGGGATTTCCCGGGCATCCTGTGTGTTAAAAAACAGTACGCGGAGAATGCGCGGCCATCACCCGGACGCCATCAGGGGAAGAGGGAGAGTATTTTCATATTGAGTAATTGTTAATAGGGAACAGTGATAAACCCCTCCCCGTAGGGGAAGAGGGTTTGTTTTGGAAGAGGGAAGAGGAATCTCGTTAGACCACCTGCGCCCAGAGGGCTAGTGGGATTTCCCCGATTCCCTGGCCAGGCAGGCGCTGCGGCACTTCAAGGATGGCAAGGCCGCTCAGTCGCTGATGTCTCCAGTTCCCAATTGTACCACTCAGCATTTCGACGTCAACGTTCGGAAGGGCTCGGAGGCGGAGACCAATTGCCAACTGCGCGTCGCCGCAACAATTGAAGCCGCATTTCGGGACAGCAGCTTTGACTCCAGCGATTGGAAGTTCAACGATGGCCGGAATATAGGAATTTATGCGAGCATGGGCGGCGGATTCATGCTTGGCATGGTCGCTGGAGGACCCATCGGCGCGTTGGTAGGAACAGCGATAACTGGCACCACGGTGGGAGTAGGCGCTCTATATCAGTACCTCATGGGGCAGAAGGACATAGCCTTGAGCGCAAGCGATAAGATCTTCGAGAAGCTCCGCTGCATGAGCATGTTCTCAACGTGCGGTAACGGCGCGCTTGTGCCGAAAGGGAAGCCGTGCCCACTGTTCTGAGCGCAGCGCCTGCGCGACAGTGTCGAAGAAACTAGACTGGCACTCCAATCGAAACCGATAGTAAGGATGCGCGGCAGAATTGGAGCC